CTGTAACGTGGCTTGGCCTACAAATTGAATGCGCATTAAAAGGCAAAGTTACATAGTGGTTAATGAGAAAAAAATATATAGACGGTAAAACAATTTCTCTTGTATATATTTGTCATTTTAGGTATTTGTGAAGTAGTAGTTAACATAGCAGCAATAGTGGTTAGGTTTAGTGGTAGTGGATTATGTTGCTTTGTGTTATATTACTTAGTGTATTTACAAAGTGTAAAATATACTCTGTGTAATTGTGGGGAATAATTTAGTAGAGTAGTAGTCACAAATGCAGTAGTAGTTGGTATTGGTAGTGGCAGTAGAAACAACTTTGTCTAGTCATTTTAATCTGCAATAACCGTTCTCCTAGTTCATTTGTCTTCCACCAAAACATTTATTTGTTGCTACCTCATTTGCTCCCTCTCTCTCCTTCACCCCCCACGCAGTACTTTGTCATTAAAAGTGAAATGTAATAAGAGCGATGGCCTCAGTTTAATGCGCAGGTATTGGATATTTGCCGGAACAGAAAACAGCAGTGATATTCTATAAAACATGTTCTGGGAAGTGCGGCTCTGGGCCACGTCTGACCTTGTGCTAAGGGAAGGGCTCAGTCTGTGGGGAAAGTTGAGCAAAGTCAAGTCGGGCTGCACCCAAACTCACAAGTACACAAGATACATATATACAGTCTAGTGCTGGATTATGTGTTTGAAGCTATGGTGAATCTAATATACCAAAGTATTGTTTTGTAATTGGACTTAGCATGGGGTACAGTTTAAAAACATGTATGGATATGAATAATTATAATTTTATGGTAAATGGTGACATTTTTCTATATTGTTTTTCCACTTTCAAGCCACTCAAAGCGCTTTACAACAAAGAACCACTCACCCATTCACACACACATCCATACACCAGTGTACGCAGACACTGGGGGCGAGGTGGGTTAAGTGTCTTGCTCAAGGACACAACAACAGCATTCATCTGTGGGAGCTGGAGTCACACTAGCCAACCTGTTGCTCAACCTACAATGTTTATGTCCAGAGCGGGATTTGAACCGCCAGCCTTCAGATCAGTGGACGAATGCTGCAACTGAGCTACTGCCACCCCTACCTACTGCCTGCTGTCTACCTTTTTTATCACAATAAATATTTTATTAATGTTTATTGTACCATACATTGTGCTGACGCTGAAGTAATTGTAGCTTTTTACATTTAGTTTGAACATATTCCAAAATTTCAGTGATGTGCCAAGGACAAACTTGTTTTCAAACAAATGTTTTCAAAGATCCTGTAGCAGACAATGACAAAATATATAAATTTAAAGATGCACTGTGTAACTTATCGGATGGAGTGTCTGCCACCTGTATGTTTTCAGACTCAAGTTTTTTGCCTTCCCTATATGAATGTTGCCACAGTTTTGACTTCATGGCGACTACCAGGGGACGGATCTTCCAACAATTTACATAACGATCATTCCCAAATATTAAAGAGCACTCATCCACAAATTGAATCAAAAATGTATTTGAGTCACTATTTTCTAAAAGTAGGTCACGTTCTTGACACTTTTTCCACAGTAAAAATGTATAATATCTATAAACATTCATTTACATTGTAAGGACATGTTGTAATGAGACATAAAATAATGAGAACATGCATTGTCCACTGGCTCGACTCTTACAATAATGAGCATGCTCCAGCACTAGGGGACGACACACAGTTTCTTCAAGACATATGAGACTGGGTCCATGAGAACAAAACAAGATGATATTTTTACATAATTTATACATTTGGCGATTGCCAGTTTCCAGTTTTGCCCTCATAGTTTTTTATTTTTCATTTTATTTAATATTTTGTTGCCGTTCTAGTACTGCTTTTGGAACTATAAGAGACGTAACACACACACTGAACACTAAACCCCTTTTTGTTCAATCCAAATATTAACACATGGGAAACAAATCTCACAAGATCACTTTTCTCTTGTGGCAATTTTGTCTTGCAAGATCTTGTGACATGGTATCTTGTCTCATCCCTACCCAACACTGTACTTTGAACTGAAACTTGAAAAAAATTCTACTACTAAAAGTGAGACCTTGTTTCAGGGAAAACCTTGTTAGCTACAACTATGTGTTAAATCATCTTATAATTAAATACAAAAGTCAGCATTAAAAATATCCAAATGGTTATACAAGAATACAAGTTCACCAAGCAAAAACTGCCTGCTGCAATCAATGTGAAAAACAACAAGTTAAAGAACAGCCTGGAAAAATCATGAAACATTAAAAAGGTCTGTTCAGCCAAATTCATCCATCAATTTTAAATCTCAAATGTGTTATGGTGCCCCCTTAAGCACTGTACAAATAGTCTGATTTATGGCAAAGGTGCACCGTGTCACTTTTCTGGTGGAGTGTCTGCCACCTGCTTTTCTTCATGTTACTGCTTTGGCGTGATTAGGGAAGTCCAAACTAAGGCCCGGGGCTCAAATACAGACCTCAGATTTTGATTGGCCCTCGTGTCTCCTGCAGTTAAAGTGGCCCAAATGTGAAAAATACATTGTGATACGACCAGAATTTATGTTCTAGGTGTCCCCTTATGGTATAGAGTGTTCCACGGTATAGCATTACTCTTATCTATGGCGACATAATCCAGTCAACTGTACCACCTCCATGTTATTTGTGGATATTACAAGGTTGTCAAATTGGGAAAAATGTCAGTTGAAAATGACATATAACCCAGTTGTGCAAAAGTCCTTCAAATGACAATCTGGAAAACAACCCGCACACAATAACCATCTTCAGCAAACCGTGTGGAGCCATATTTAGTAGAGATTACTTTATTTACTCCAACACTTGTGTGAAGTGTTTTTGTGATTAGTCATGTATCGGCCAGTCACATCTGAAATTATAATCAATTTGTTGACTATAATACAGAGTCGCACCTTGAGAGAAATGCACATTAGAGTCTGTCCCTGTGGATGATTGAATTAAAGCCTGTTATTAAAGAGGATAATGAGTATGTGAAAGCAAACATTAGGCTGTGATTACTACTCTCATCAAGAGGTAATATTTAGCTAAGTGCAAAACAGCTTATTAAATGTGCAAGCTTATCAGGCAAATAGTATTGGTAAATTAAGCAGCGTCTCTGTTTCTAACCACTGTATTTCTGCGCTCGAGTCAATCTGCTTTCCACGTAATAATTAATTAGCAGAAGGTTCAGTCATGCAGGCCTCAGGATGGCAGCAGAAGAAGACATGTGAAGTTGTTGGACAGTAATTAATGTGCTAATGTGGCCTTATGTACCTGACCTCCCGGGAGTGTTTAGTGATTTTATGTTATGAGGCTTCAATGGCTTCAATTGGCTCTGAAGTACTGTACATCACTGTGTCGATAGCACAGTTTGAATTGAGAAAATCATTCCAGGAAAAGGTGCTTGAAGTTGCCGTGTTAATTATTCTGAAAGTTGACAGAAGTTTAGACAAAAATTGATACTTCTAATTTTCTATGGCCTATGCCGATTGTTTAGAATCCGCAGAAACTGATAACCAATAAACTCTTTAAAAATAAACTATTTTTGAGCCGATATGAATGGCCCATTTGGATTATTTTCCACAAATTTTGTCATTAAAATTTACTAAACACTGCCCCACAACTCTTTTTCTATCACAAACCTTTAAGAGAGGAGTTTAGCCATGTTTTTGTGCATTTTGTGCTTTTCACTTTAAATAGTTCAAATAAAGCTTTGTGTGTAGTTTTTAGGCAGCAGATCAACCAAAACAAAATATCAGCTTGTGCTAGAGAGTGAAGGCCGATAGCTGATACACTAAAAAGTCAAAATGTTGGCCAACAGATAAGAAATATCATCTGGTTTGGAAGATAACAGTGCAAGTTGGTCAATATAGTCAATATTTAACTTGAACATTCAAAGTTCGTCTATAAAATATTTAATTTTAGTTACTAGATGATTTAGTTACCAATCCTTAAATAATCTTAGTTTTTCTTACAGGACATTATATACATTTTAAATGTAACAGCTCTTAAAGACATATCTGGAGTATTCCTTGTTCACTTTACTGTACAAATATTGCAAGGAGACTCAGGTTTAGAGGTGCACACTTGGACCTCTATAAACAAAACTGAAGCACTCAACGTTCAGTTTCTACAAGAAGTCTGTCCCAGGGCAGGACAGTAATTAGATTGTGTTCCTGTTTTTTCTGTGGCGGTGCTGGGGTCACGCTTTTAACTAGTCCCCGCTCCAGTGAAATCCAGGAGCTAGCAGCCAAAAAACACCCTTTAACTTCTATTGCTTTTATCACTATGACGACGGGTGACCCTCGGTATCCCAGCATGCCCTGTGCTCATGTGACTTAGACACTGTTGAGCTTTTGACGAAGCTGCTCCAAATAGAGAGGGCATTTCATCCAGACAAATGGAGAAAGAGAGGAAATTGAGTGATGCTGAGTTGTAGAAAATAGTACTGATGGTATACAACTATTTTTGTTATTTATTATTAGACATGTGGATGGAGTAAATCTTGAAAATCTATTAAACCACTACATTATAATTTTAAACTTGATATTATCAGTTATTGTTGATTTCATTCATAAAATCTATTTAAAATCTAAATATAAAATCTAATCTAATGCAATCTGCAATATATAATTATGTTGTGAGGATACTATGTTTTCATAATTTGTAATCTATGTTTATCTTATTTTCACTGGGCTTTAGTTGATAAACTGAAAACAAAACAGACTGTGATAGTGATATTTATTTTTATTTCATAAATTTTTTATAACTTCTATTCTTTTGCTAATTGGCTGCAAACAGTGTACCCTTGGGGATGAATAAATGTAAGTTTCATTTTGATTCTAATTAATGACAAAGCTAAAAGCATGGATACACCCTGTAGAGTGAGAAGGTAAAAAGGTGAAAATTTTGTTTGGTATCACAAACAAAAATTTAACTGTAAAAGACTGGTTTCTCATTTTTAACATACGTCTTTGTTATCTTTCCACAGTGGGACGCCATTACGGAGATGGACGAGCATAACCGTCCCATCCACACTTTCCAGGTCTGCAATGTGATGGAACCGAACCAAAACAACTGGCTCCGCTCCAACTGGATCCCACGTCAGGCCGCTCAGAAAATCTACGTGGAACTACGATTTACACTACGAGACTGCAACTCCATCCCCTGGGTCTCTGGTACCTGCAAAGAAACATTCAATCTCTTCTACCATGAGACCGATGAAGTTCACAACATCAAATTCAAATCCACGCAATACACCAAAATCGATACTATAGCTGCAGACGAGAGCTTCACCCAGATGGATTTGGGTGATCGAATTTTGAAATTAAACACCGAGGTGCGTGAGGTGGGGCCTATGACCAAAAAAGGCTTTTACTTGGCGTTCCAGGACATAGGAGCGTGCATCGCTTTGGTTTCAGTGAGGGTCTACTATAAGAAATGCCCGTTCACTTTGAGGAACTTGGCGTCATTCCCGGACACAGTGCCTCGGGGGGACTCTTCTTCGCTGGTGGAGGTGAGAGGGGCGTGCATAGACCACGCAGAAGAACGGGACACGCCCAAACTGTTCTGTGGAGCGGATGGTGATTGGCTGGTGCCGCTGGGGAGATGCGTCTGCAGCGTTGGACATGAGGAGATAGATGGAGCCTGTGTGGGTGAGTGCCGGGTCACTTTAATCTAACCTTTGCATTCATTTCGAATATGTTGTTGTGAACAGAAATAGAAATCCAGGGTTTGCAGATTTATATAAAACATTATTCTCAATGGACCATAGAAATATACACATAAATATACATATGAATTGCTGAAATTAACTACAATTTCAGTTTAATTCACTTCACTTCATTTGGAACAAGTTAGTAGAAGTAATTGTTGCCTGGTTTCAACAGCAAAACCTGCAAAACAAGATCTGAATACCCACCAAAAGCAGGTCCAGATTAGCCCATCCAATGACACTGGCCTGTCGCCTTCACTTTCTCACAGAAAGAGCAGGTCTGTTTGTTTTGTGTTGGAAGTTTTTTATTCAGAATTACACCATAATTAACATTGTACATGAAAAATAGGCCAACCCATATGGAAGTTTTTATATATTAATTAATTCATTTTCATTTATGTGGCTCTTAAAATTTTAAAATGTCATCCGATTCTGCACACCTCAAAACCTCCGGGCAACATCAGATTTTTTTTTTCTGTTTCTATACATATAACTTTTGTGCGACTTTACTCAGATGTAACTTTATATTACAGACTATAAGTTGTTTATTTTGACTGTGCCCTTGGTACACTTACTTCTGATGCACTGTTGAAAAGTCCACTTACTCAAACTTGCCATTGATCTGCTGCATCCCCATACACTGCCTCTACCTATTTATTAACCTATTTACTAAACTGATGGTGTGCTTTTGTCCTGAGTCTGCACCATATTCCATTACATATATCTTTTGATAATGTTGCTTCCTTATAATTTTGCCCTCACACTCCCATATTATCAACAGTGTAACTATCCAAGTGTAAAATTGGATAAGAGTTTGTGGCTATAATAGGCATATCATTTACAAACATTGCTAAAGAGAGTAACTTGGGTGTGTTTGGTGGTAGTACCTGGCACGGTGCTTTGTAGTCTATATAGTTTACTGTTTGGAGTCAGTGGCCTGTGATGTGTGTAGTTCCCAGAGGCCATCTTGATGTGATAGATTACCTGAGTGAGTTTGATCTGAGCGCTCTGATACAAACTGTGGATCAGAAAAGCCAGCAGCTCACAGCAGGGAAACTGTGGGATCAGCTACACGGCGTCGTGATGGTCCAATGAAAGATCTCTGTAATCCACAAAGTAGTTTGGAAACAGAGTTCATACAGGGAGGGACATGCACCCTGCAGCCCTGGGCAATAACAATGAATTTATAAATGACAGGAGTTAGAAAATATTGTCCAAGTGCAACTTATCTTTTCAAAATATATTTCAGTGTGTAATTTAATGAAAGTTCAGGTGAGTTTAACTATAAGGCAATCACTGACCAGTCTCTTCCAATACAGAGTCATCTGATTTCAGCTCATCCACATTTACCAATTTGTTTCAATTTAAATCAATAGATTTGTCCAATACAACTTGTAAGGATTCGTGTGAATTAATGGTGCACTGTGTAACTTTTGTAGTGTTAGTTATGCTACTGCTTGTCTCCATACAGATTGTATTGTTGTGCCTGGAATACTGCATGGTATATGAACAGGCCTATAAAATATATTCAGTTAATTTTTATTGCTTAAAAATATCTTTAAAAATCATTCTTACTATGAGTTCACCACTCTGATCTGGCTTGGTACAGTCACTCACTTGTGTTGATGTGGCACCATTAATGTTGTTGGCTGAAGGTAGCAAATGAAATTGACAAATTGACAAAATTTACCAAAGTATATACATGTTGTCAATGGCTAAATGTTTATGGTTTAAAAATTATAATATTCACAATTTGCTCAACCAATCATCCCTTAATAGAATCCACCAACGACATTATAGATTGTACTAAAATCTCGTTCTAATGGCCTGTCCACACATCCTTTGGACACTCCTCAGTCCTGCTCCTGTACCATTTAGAGCCAGATGTCTCTGCAGTTGATTACAATTGGTTTTGTGGTGGGAGTAGGTGAGACGGTTCCCCAGCTGCACAGCCAGCTGCAACGTAATCAGTGCCAAACTGCAGCCGTGATTACAGCCGCGCTCATCAGACGGCTGGTGGGACAGGTGAAATGTATTCTTTATGTTCAACTTGTCTTTAATATAGACTGGTGCATCTCCCCACAACAGAGAGCCAAGACATTTCATTTGTGTTTTAACTCCAGTGTTTAGCATTCCCAGTCTGCTGCATTCATTTGGTCTTGTAGACTTCACTGAAATGCCTGTGTTCGCTATCCCTCTGTTCTCTCTGTTCCCTCTGTTTCCTCTGTCACAGGTTAAGCTGGGCCATATATCGGCCGCTCATTGTTCCAGGATTCAAACAAGTGTCATTATAAAGCTCTGTGCAGGTTCGACTGCAGCGCCTCAGGGGCCAAAGCTGCAGTGGTTGTTTCACTCCTTTAGTTACAGCTGGGCCCTTATACCACAGCTGTTTTATTAGAAAGCAAATGTGGAAAATATGTTGTATTTAAGAGTACTTCTGTTCTCTCTCATAATCCAGAACTTTTATGTCGGACAAGCCCAAAGTCTGGCCTGGGGTTCACTCTGTGCACCTGCTAACATTTCAGTGGCCCTGGCTTTGTCACATGAAACATATTGGATTTTGCCTTGCAGCAGTGTCAGGAGCTCTGAGTGTATATTTCACCATACCACAATGTTCTCAAGTGCCCATGGGTGATACGGCCATGTATATTGAATCAAAAGGTCTTCTTTAATGTCTTTAAAATCCCTTTATTGAATGACTGTGAAAGGTGAAATATGTAAAATGAAATAACTAATGTGAAATAACTGGCATTTATAATTGTGGTATACAAATGTGTGTATGTGGCATATGTGGCTGAAAACACTTTTGCCTCACTGGTTTGGTTCTTGGGGTGGGTGAGTTTGGTATTTCAGCAACTAACTGCTCGTGTTTTTTTTTTTTTTTGTTTTTTTTGTGATTAAGCTGGGACTAAACCTGGAACTACACATGGACTAGGCCAGGGGTGGGCAAACTACGGCCCGGGGGCCGAATGCGGCCCTTTAAACCTTTTAATCCGGCCCGCCAAACTGGAATAAATTACAATAATAAACTTTGTTGATGTTTTATTTGTCATGCATTTCCAGCGTTTCCCAATAGATGGCGCACTATATATACATTGAGTTGCGGCGTATTCTGTTGGCCGCAATGCTTTATGGGAAAGTGTTCTTACAGGAGTTATTCGGACCATGAGTGAAGTAGTTGGTGTTTAAGATATAAGACTGCACTGCTTCCATTTTGAGTTGTTAAAAATCAATCAAGGAAACCAGTGGACTCTGAGTTGTAATTATTAATGTGTACAGCATTTTGGAGTCAGGTTTTATCTCACTCACAGGTGTATATCTGTGGTTGTTTGGTGTGAGCTTTGTTTTTGAGCTGTTACCAGTCATGTTCAAAAATGGTGAACTCTCGATATACATTCACTGGTGGTGTTGCAGTGGAACAGGTCTCAACAGTTTTATGTGTTCTGAATCTTTCACAGCAGTGATGAAAAGTGTAGCGCGTCTGAAGTCCTAGATAAATGTGAATAAGAATGTAATGAATCTGAGCTCTTAACACGTTATGTCCTGTCTTCTGTCCGGACCCTATGTGGCCCGCGAGCCAGAAAGTTTGCCCACCCCTGGACTAGGCCATGTCTCCTGAAACCAAGACGATGCTGATCAGTTCTTGGAAACCATAGCTAAAATATGGTGAATTAAACTAAGAAAACAGAAAACTAAATAAGAAGTAAGTTTCCCTAAGAGTTCAATAAAGTGCACCTTAGCCTTAATATGGTGTCCTGATTTTTACCTTACATGACCTATGAAGGCACTGAAGAGTCAAACAATCACTATGTTTTTGACTATATACGCACTCTCTACTTAGTCAAAGAAAGGTGCCTATTTGAAGTCTGAATAAAAACCTTTACTTTCACAGAGTATAGAGGGAACTATTCACTCTCCTTCCTCTGAAATGACCACTTTGATTTTCTGTGGCTCACAACAAGTCATTGCAGTCAAAATGGCTCCTTCGTCTGGCTCTGGATGCCATTTGTACTCCACAAAAATATGACATAACAGCAAAGAAGTAGGGATCTGTATGGGACGAACAAGTGCAATTTCTTCTGCAACATGTTTCATTCTTTTTCATGTTTGGCACATATTTGCTATGATGTACTTTCACTATACATTTTGTTGCAGCAGCTTTTCATTTGAAGTTAAAATGTGCAATTCCTACACTAGGGCTCGGAATCACAGGGTCCCTCACGAAACTATGCACGGCTCAAAATACGATATTATCATGATATGGCGATACATGTGACAAATACATTTTAGCAACTCTATTTCTTTGTTAAACCACTACTTCTGCAAAGTCTATTCTATATCAAATTTCATTCCTCTAAATAAGTTCTTGTGTAGTTACAAAAAAAATGCTAAAATATACCCAAAAATACTCCTGCTGATATATCGTTCCGCAAATTATGATAACGATTCTGTATCACCAAATTTACCAAAAAGATTTTAATATTTTTGCTCCTAATGCACACCTCCATCCAGATCTACTGTATATAAAAAGTGAACGCATCAACAACTTGCACACTTCTGTTCTTATTTTTTGGGAGTTTTTAGATTTCTACCTCTCAGCAGTTTACAGAAAATTTTGGCTTGAATCTATTATTCAAGTTCTTTAAAGAATACAACACAGCACAATAGTGACAATGGTCTTGCTTACAATGGCGTTTTTTGCAGTGAAAAAAAAAAAAAAAAAAAAAGTCATGCCATTTTGTGAACAATTAGCAAAAGTTGTTAGTATTAGTTTCTTTCCTGGCAAATAGTAACTATTGTTCTGGGTATATTTTGTCTCAGTCCCGTCATTTCTTGTATAGGCCCCATTACTTTCAATACTTAAAGGGCCCATATTATGCTGTTTTATGATCTATTGTTATAATGTTGTTTCATCATCAAAACCATACCTGGAATTTTGTT